TCATAAAGAAGTAGGGTTGGAAGGAACCTCCAGAAGTCATTATGCTTGAGGCAGGATCATCCCTATTCAAACCATTATCTAGAACCCATGATCTAAACTGTACATAGCACTCTGAACTAACACAAACTTAAGACCCTAAACTGCCACAGGTAAATCAGGGGAACCATGGCAGCTAGTGTTCTGTGTCTATGAAATGTTGTCTACACAGGCTCTCCTGAGCATATATTGAGGGCCACACTGCCTGCTACAGTGGAAGACAACCCCCCTCCCCCTCAGTCCATACAAACCCAACCATGAGGTAAAATTTCTTCCTGAACCCAGATATGGTGATCGGTCTGATGCTGAGGGGCAAGACCCTCTAGCTAGGAACCTCTGGCACACCCCAGTTAAAGTCCCAGGCCTTGTCTTTAGCCAACACCCAGTGCCTCTGAGGAAGGTTTAAAAGCACCCTGACACATGTAGCAGAAAGGGAGGTGTGGGGGCAACCAACAAAGCCAGGAAGCATTGGAAATACCCATAGTCGAACATAGGCATATCTACACCTAGATCTTCCCCCACCAGTAGCTGTTCAACAGCTTTTTTAACACCTTCAGTAATGAAGAGTCTACAGTTTACCTAGGCAGCCCATTCCACTGCTTCACTATTCTAACATAGCAGAAGTTTTTCCAGATATCCAATTTAAACTTCCTTTGCTGCAACTTTAAGCCATTGGTCAATGCCCTCTTCTCTGCAGCAAGAAAGAAAAAAGTGATTTCTCTCTTCTTTCTGGCAGGCCTTCAAGTATTTGAACACTGCTTTCATGTCCCCTGTTAAGTTCCTTTTCCACAAGCTGAACATGCCTAGCTCCTTCAACCTCTCCTCATATGACTTGCCTTCCAAACCTTTGATCATCTTTGTTGCCCATCTCTGGACCCTCTCTAACTTTGTTACATCCTTTTTAAAATGCAGAGCACAGAACTACACACAGTACTCCAGATGAGGTCTACCCAGTGCCAAGTAGAGGTATTATCACCTCCTGTGTACTGCACCAAATGCTTTTATTGATGCATCCCAAAACTGCATTCACCTTTTGTGTGGCTGCATCACACTGCAGACTAGTATTGAGTCTGTGATCTACCAAGACTCCCAAGTTCTTTTCCATAGTGCTGCTGTCTAGCCTGGATCAGCCATTTTATGGAATAAGTCTGCTATGTCCCACTATGAAATGCTATTTGAGAGTGAAATAGTAACATTTTATTTTAAATATATATATTACAAACCACTGTAGTTAACATTTTTTTATATTGGTTGATCAGATTGTGACTGCTGGTGTTATGTAATAACTTGTGAAAGATGAATTTTAAAAATCCAGTGTTTCAAAGAATGACCTAAGGTGCTACATTATATGTGTCATTCATCTGTGCCTATAAAATTGAGCTAGGATTTTTTTTATATTAGTTCAATCATGAAAAGTCTAGAATGTTGTGTTTCTGGACATAATAGATTTATATTATAAATAGAATTTTCTGTAGGCTCTCTGTTGCTTTTACTTCTAATCTCACTAAGAAATGATGGAGAAAAAAAACATTAAAATGAGATTATTTCATATGGAAAGAGTTCCCCTTTTATTATTTTAAATAGAACTACTGGCCATATACAAACATAAGTACAATTAATAATTTAATATCCATATATTTCTACCTGCTGTTCCATTTTCTTTCAATCACTAGCTTCCTTCCTATCTAGGTCTTATAAAACTCTAAGGAATAGATTCACCTTTTAATTTTCCAGTGAGTGAGTTTTCTACATAAGAGCTCCAGAGTGCCAAAAATTTGAAAAGTCAAATTCCCTAGAGCAGCCTCATTTCTATAAAAGTCTTTGTGGAGAAAAGATAGGTCAAACTAACCATTTTAGCAAAAGAATATGGATTTTATAACTGTAATTACACATTTAAAATGATGAATCTCCAGGAAAATGTCTCATAGAACCAATCCAAATGATCTAGTGAATCAATATAAAACTAACTCAACAGCTTAGAAAACCATGTTACAATGCAACCAATGACTGAAGCCTAAGTGTTCTGGCTGATCTTGATTGGCATTGATTAGGAATCCACGTTTCAAATATAATTTTACCATGGGAAAATTATTTGTTTTGCAGCAGGAAAGTAAGATTTCATTCAGAGTTGTAAAACCAAATCCTCAACTCCAGGAGAGCTCTCTTTGGCATTAGCCAATGCTTTTTCAATCCGGGGCTCATCCTAGGAGTACCTTGAGGTTGTTCTAAATTTCTTTCTGATTGAAGCCCAGTGGGATACATTTTACAGTCTGAAAATGACTTAAGTACAGCTCTTGCTGAGTATGATCCAAAACATTGGGTCTCGTACCCCTGGCATAGGGGCAATAAGAAAACAAATTCTAGCTAGTTAAATATGCTTTCTTCGTCTCACTTGTACACAATGGGGTTTCTTAACCAACTGCTTAAGAAATTATTTGGGCCCCTTTTTGCCTATCTGGCAAACATCATCTACTCCTCAATATAAGAATTCTAATGAAGGATAGGTTCATAACATCTGAATTTATTATTCCCATTGAAGGACAAAGATATGATAAAAACAATTCAATGGCAAGTGTTGCTGATCTAGGCTCATTTTGGCTAAGTACAGACAGTAAAAAAGCCTGAGAAAGAATTGATCCAACCTTTGTGGGTTTCTCAAAGCTACAAAGATTTGATCAAGAGCAAATGTAATTCACATTTGTCCTTTGCTGGGGGAGTGGGGGGGGGGGGGAGGCAAGCAAATGCCTGCTCTTGCCAGGCCAGAAGGTGGCTCCCACACATTTCCCACCCTTCTGGACATCGCCAAAGGCAGCCAAGTCCAGCTGAGCAGAGCCATCCATGACTGGCTATCAGACAAACAGCCCTAACCCCGTGCTGTAACTGCAGACCCTCCCTGTGCCAAACCCAAGGTTTCCAGAACTGGTGGCTGGGGGCAGGGAGGGGAGAACAGAGACCCTGGCTCAGCCTGCCTAGTTAGGATCTGCACAGAGGGACCCTCACAATCGAGGTCTTTCCCCCCACAGGCCCACCCTCACACCAGACATGGCATCTCAGCTGTGGGAGCAAGGGGAAACAGAGCCTCTAGCCCTGCCTCCCCTCCCAACTGGGGTCTGCACAGTGTGGGGGACCCTCTGCAGGAGGAGGTTTTCCCTTTACACCCTGGCTTTCAAGCCCTCAGCCTGGCTGGGCAATCACTCGAGCCCCGCACCAGATCCAGCCTCTCAACCGCAGGGGGCAGGATCAGGGTATGAACCGAAAGGAGAAAGCTGAGGGGGAAGATGGCAGGGATCTATAAAATCATGAAGGGTGTGGACCGAGTGAACAGGAAACTGTTGTTAATCAAGTAACAGAATACTAGAACCAGGGGGCACCCCTGAAATTAGTAGATGACAGGTTTAAAACTAACAAGAGAAAGTACTTTTTTATGCAATGTTTGGTTAACTTGTAGAATTCCTTGATGCAGATGGTGGTGGAGGTAGATAGCATAGCCAGGTTCAAAAAGGGATGGGATACATGGAGGATAGATCTGTTAATGGCTATGGAACATAATGGTTGGAAATGTTTCCTCTGGCATATCTAATCCAATAAATGGTGGATGCCAGGAATAGCAGATGGATCATTCTAGAGATATCCAGTTCAATGCTCTTTCTCTCTTAAGCATCCACTCCTGTCACTGTTGGAGACAGGATACTGGGCAAGATAGAGCATTGGTTTGACCTATTATGCACTTCTTATGGTCTTATGTTCAGGGTAAAATTTAAAAATATTGTGTGATCAAGTGATATGCTATTAGTTGATGGCTGTTAGGTATAGTTAATATCGTATATATGTTTCCAGGTGAATGGTGTAATCCTAGTCCCCCTGAAGTCAATGGCATTTCTTTTTATGGGTAGGGGATTTCACCTGTTATCTCATCTTAAGTGAATATTTTTTCTTAAAGCAATTAGTGGAGTTTTCTTAATTAAAGTGGGAAAGAATATACTTCCCCCTCTACTAGCTTAAATAAATTATTAGTAGTTATTCCAGTAATAAGAGTGTATCCTTTTATGCTACAAGACCCTGCACAAGCTTCTAATAAGAAAGCATGTTGTCCAGAAGGATTTTTCATTATTTCTCAAATATCTTCTTAGAAGGACTGAGAGTAGAAACTTGGAATTTGATCGAGAACGTGCTGTTACAGAGGACTGCCTCAGAGTGCTTTAGTGAGATAAATTGTCTTATATTGTATAGGCCAAGGGATGATGTATTAGAAAGCTTTTTATTTGGTTTATCTGTATAAACAAAGAAGGTAGTGACTCACTAGAGAAGAAGACACTTATACTTAACACTGAAGCAATTACAAGTTAAATGTCTTAATTTCAAAATATTTATTGAGAGCCCCATGAAAAAGCTCCAAGTGTGGCATTGAAAATATATTCATCATTCTAAAATATTGTACTGTATCCCTGACTCTTTATTGTAATAACGTGATTCATTTTGAAGTATCCCCCCCCCCCCC